TCAACCATCTGAAGAGCATCTTTGCAGAACACGGCATCCCTACGCAGTTGACGACCGACAACGGACCGCAGTACAGTTCGGCAGAATTCAAGCATTTTATGAACGTCTACGGGGTAGAACACATTACTAGCTCCCCGCTATACCCCCAATCCAACGGGTTTGCTGAGCGAATGGTCCAGACCGTGGAAAACATTCTCCAAAAGTGCGATGAAAATAAAGAGGACCCGTACCTTGCTCTCCTATCATACCGGGCCACTCCCTTGGATCACCAGCTGAAATCCCCAGCAGAACTGCTCATCAACAGAAAATTTAAAACTAGATTACCAGCATGCCATAGAGTCCTCCTCAACCACTCTCACCATGAGGTCATGAAAAGTAAGCTCATAGCCCGTCAGGAGAAACAAGCCCACTATTACAACCAGCATTCAGGACCACCCAAAAAGCCATTCGAAGCTGACCAACCCATCCGCACGTACAACCACCACTCACAAACCTGGGAACCTGGCATTATTGTAAAACCCGCCAAACAGCCAAGATCTTACATCATCAGATCCAGCAGTACAGGTACCACCTATCGAAGAACACGGGCCCAACTGAAACCAGACACAACTGCAGTGAGGGGAACACAATGCCAGCGGGTGGAAACCCCAGTATACCAAGGTTCTGAGATACCTCAGCAGACAACTAGTCTTGCCCCAGTCAGTCACACACAGACATCGCACAAAAACGGTGCAGCCCCCAGACCAGGATCTGGCGAAACAGTGCCACTGAACAACATCCCCCAGGGACCCTCAGACATAGCTGGAGGATATGTGACCAGATCTGGGAGGACTGTGACACCTGCACAAAGGCTGGATCTATAAGAGTAGAGACGCTAAAGAATAGACTTATAAGTATAAGCACAGGAGGGATATCCTTTCAACCAGTATTGTAATGTTCTGGAGATATGATAAGTTCCATTTTTTTTTTGTCGTTATTATTATTATTACATCGGTAGAAAGGGGGATGTCATATTACGTCATACCACGCGCTCCCATTGGACCTGTGGGAAAAAACGTGGTATCGGACCCGCCATTTTTGATTTCGCCCATGTTGTCATGTAGTAGCTGTTGCGTTATTGAATAAAGAGTTTAAATGGAAAAATTGTGACAAAGTTTGGACTGTGGACCTACTTTTGAGGGGTACTGATGTTTGATTTTACCTTGGTATTGGTCAGCCAGTATTTTTTTTCATTTATGTCGGATTTTCAACAGAATTTTGTGTGAAAATACAGAGATCTTTTGTGTGTTTGTTGGGCTGTTGGTAGCTAAGCACTAATCAGGTCAGTTTGATCAGGAGAAGGGGTACTGGAGACTGCTAGCTTTTGAGGCATTAATTTTTATTATAGTACAAGAAAGGTGACCTACTTTACAGCCAAAACATGACTTTGACTGGAAGAATCCATCATTTTGATCTTGTCGAGAAACTTGCTGGACCTTTTCACAATGGTGAAGAATCATGTAGAAGGGAAACTTGTTCACCTCAAGAGAGCATACACTTGGATGAAGTGTCTGAAAGTGTTTCTGGTGTCAGTGGTAAACAATGCGATGAAGTGGAAGAATGGAAAGAAATATTTGACAACACTTGACAAGTTGATGAAGAGGATGAAGTTTGTAACAGTTCCAGTGTAGGCTCATTTATCAGTGATAGCGAGGGAGCTGCTCTTACTTTTCATGCAGAGAATGTGAATGATTCTAGTTCTGTTAGAGATGTGGATTTCTCAAAGGAGAGATGTGATTCAGCCTCAAGCTTGTCTCAATCATTTGATGTGCCAAGTGTTGAATTGGAATCCCGAGAGAGGTCTTGGTCACCTTCATTTACAGGTGAACAAGTTGAGAGTGAGAAGCTGAAAGGAGCACACACATGGCAAAAGTGACAAAGAAGGCGCACATGATTGTTCTTTTCCTGATGGTGCAGACACAATTCTATTCTAATCATCACTTTAATGACACTGTAGATGGTGCAGTTGGTTTACCATATAGAGCCTAAGATAGCTTAAAGCAAGAACCAATGGAGACACGCTCACAAGCAAAATGTTTCAGGTGCAAGGTTCACTGCTCAGAAGGACACAGAAACAGATCAGTCAGACCATCATGTGAGCAATCAGTCAAATAAATAGGAGCATGTAGGGGGCCAGACCAAGTGACAGACCTCCTTAAGCAGACAGATGCCCAGAACCTTCTTCACTTTACTCTTGGGAAGACTTAATTGGTACCTCAACAAGTTGCTGGCCTGTGGCCCATGGAGTGGCCAACACATTCTTAGCAAGATGCTCAGAAGACAAACATCTTCATGAAAGTTCATATTACACTAATGCTGAGAAGATGTTGATCAAGAATTCTGCATTATAAGGAGCTTCTCATGCAGACAGGATGATAAACATGAGTGACTCAAACAAACCTCAACTGTGCTTTGGTGAATGTCAACTTACTTTCAGGCCAGATCTATATTCTCAAACACGTGTCATTGTTCCCTCAGACTAGTAGAATATGTATGTTGTGCAGCAAATTGAAGTTGTTGAAATGTTCTTTAATTGCTGGCATAAATTGATTTGTTTTCCTCTAAATAACATATAAAGATATAATTCTTCTTGAAGTTTGTTTTAGATAATAGGAATTTTTTTCCTTACTAGAACTCTCTGAATTCTACAAGCTTAATTCCTCTTGCACAACCAACAGCCCTCACAACAAACAGCTCTTAGGTATTGTTACATGGGGTATAATTTAATAGCAGCATGGATGAGGATTTCAGCAGGGAACCCACAGATCATGGCAAAAATGTATTGGTGAAGAGGTAAGTAGCTGATGTTTTTTTTAGCTATAAAAAGTTAGTCATTGATTTACAAGTTGTGTCAGATCAGGTAGTAACCATATTCCAAAATTGCTTGAATAGCTGTCACTGTGAAGCTCAGAAAACCTATGAACACCAGAAATATTCCTGGAATATGTTACAAACTCGAGAGTGACAAACCAACGATGCAAAAGAGAGCCTAACTGTGGGCTTGCAGATCTCATTTTGTTTGTAATATGATTGGTTGATCACTATGGAATAAACAGTTAATATGAACTGTAGGTGTTCATGGTTCTTGTGGTACTTTGTTTTCAACTGTTATATTAACTGTCTTTTTTTTATAGTATGACCAAGATGCAAGCCCAATTGGTACAACTCGTGTCAAGTGTCAGTATCTGTAAGTATGAATAAGCTGCAGAATTATCAGATTTTTATTGCAAGATTGCATGGTGTATCCTATAATAATTCATCAGTAACTGGAGGTTCATGCGCAAAATTTTATGTTGTGCGTCTTCCTGTGGACCATGCACAGCCTGGCCTTAATGAGTGCCAAATGGTAATTTTGTAGTCGTTACTAAGCAAAGAGTGACGACTTTTGAACTCGAAGACATTAAGAGTTCAACTGAAAAAAAAAAAAAAAAAGAAAAGCCACTGAAATAGGATTCTGGTTCACCCTTAAAACTTCATGTCATACGAATGGGGAATCACCTCTGCTGCCTATGAGTGGGGATTTCTTCTCCTTTTCCTTAGGAAAAGTTGACCTAGGGTATACATATTTTCTTTTATCAAGTAAAATGATAGAAGAAAAGGTGATTATTTTTAATACAGTGGAAATCACACCTTCACTATAAAAGAACCATTATTGTCTAACCTGATGAATCTCAGTGTTCTTTAAAAGGCTTTTGCTATTTTTTATTTATTTATGTCATTTGATATTCATTTCCTTCATAGTTTAAGTATAATTTAACAGAGAAGAGAATTTGTGATAAATAAGTTGGAAAATTGTTGTAAATGTAACACAAAGGCAAAGGATAGTTAAGACTATAATTATGGCCTTGTTTGAAGTTATGTTGATTCTGAGGTCAAAGTAAAAAATGAAATGTAGTATTGATGAGTTGTATTCTTCTTAGTGTCTTTTGATTTAGATTTGGTAAGTTTACAGACAAATGGTTAAACTAGATTATGATTTGCGTAGCTGTAAATTTAAAACAACATCTATGATGAAAATTCAATGAGCGCATAAAGATAGTTTAATTCATGGTGAGTTATTTTTCGTGAAACATGATCAGTAAGTAGCAACAGACCCAACGATCGTCGTCTTCATGTACATCATATTGTCGCAATTTGTATTTCAAAGTGAAAACTTCTTAGCCCGTGGTCCCATTGTTTTGAAAACAAGAAACAATTAATTTGGAAGTGAAAGCAGAGATACACGTTGCAACCTGCCAAAATGCAACGTCATGGGCGTTGAGACCAGCTTTTCTTTGAAATTTGTGCGATAAATAGCATGTATTATTGAGGTGTAGCAGGGGGGGAGCGGCTGTCAGTCCTCCCATCACCCCACATATTTTTTGTAAGGAAATTTCTTCCGCGCAGCAAGCATAGAGTTCGGAAAAATAATCAGTCACAAATCATTGCATCTCTCATTTAGTCAAGAATGCACTTTACATATAGATACGTTGCAGGGTTTTAATTTTAAACAGTAGTCTGTTGATGCATTGTCACAGATTAAATGCAGACAGACTGGACATTATTGTTACGATTGCACATAGATATGCATCACCAACAAACTGGATAAAGAATATTTAAGAAAATTTGAGAAAGGGGATGGGTTAGGCCTGGTGTATTGATGACAACCCACCCCCTTTTTTTTTACCCCTTCATACTTCACCCTACCGGGGGATTCCCCAAATATTTATTGAATTATGTTGTCTTTCGCTTTTAATTCTGAGAAACATTTCAGATCCCTAATAATAATAATAATAATAATAAAGACTTTATTTTACGAGGGTAACACATAATAGCATAGCTAATAAACTTGTGGCCCTCACTCAGAAATAATTACAATATAAAAACTTGTATAATACAATATAAAAATAGAAACTAATATAATATAATATAATTGCAAGATAAGTAAAGAAACTAAAAAGGAAACTATACACGGAAATGACTTAAAAATTAAAAAAGTTCCAAATTTTGGTTCCGGTGACGAGAAAAGTGCGCCCACCTTCAGTTTCCCTGTTATATCTGGGGCACAGTACATTAAAGTTTGAATAGCGCGTAGTTCTTGAATGTCTTGAGTTGTTGATCGGAATATGCTCGTTTAAATAGCTAGGTAGTGCACCGTGGATTCGTTTGAACATTATCGACGCTTTGTCAATCTTACACTTCTCGTAAAAAGGAATCCATTTCAGTCTATTAAAGAGTTCTACGGATGGAGCCATCCGCTCTGCGTAAAGGATGACTCTAGCAGCGCGTTTCTGCAGCTTAAAAACTCTATATAACAATTCTTTATCACAATTAGACCAGATGGCGCTGACATAACTCATAACCGGACTAATAATAGAGTTGTAATACTGAATGCGTTGAGGAAGCGGTAAATACGTGCGAATTTTTCGCAAAATGGCAATACGCGAAGCCAGTTTTTTGCAGACTTTATCAGCGTGTGCATTGAAAGAGAGCGTGCTGAGATGAAGCAACTGCGTAGAACCAAAGATCCTCGCACCCTGACTGTATTTTGGAGAAAAAATTCTCTTCACTGAAGGAAAAGATCAGTCATGAAGGTAAGCGCAAAGACGTTTTCTTTGATGGGCCAGTCTAGGCCCCTAAATATTTCACTGCGTGTGGGTTCCTGGTAAGAAATCCAGTTGTCAGGGACAATTCTTTTATTGCTGAATTTGTTCCAAGGTGGCGCAAGTTTAGATGAGCTGGTGCGACATGCAGTCATAATCGCTGAAAATTTTAATTGTGGTCATAATTATCGAAAATGTTTTAAAGAATTTAGTCACTGATCGGTTCATAGAAAGATTGTTGGCGCCTGCTTTTGGTTAGCGAATGAATCCAGCTGATATGATAGCAGACTGAACTGAAGTAGTATTGGTAAACAAACGATCATGAACTGTATGTTTGAGCTACGCAAGTTTTTATAGCAGCCCTCTTGAATGATCGCTAACACATTTCGCAAAACTAAGTTCATGAAAACAAAGCGTGTCGATCATATATTATACACGCATTCACCGGGTGGCTGTTGAGTTTCTTAGAAATATAGCAAGGTCCAATTTTAGGTCTTGCCATTCCTGTTCAAAACAAGTCAGGATATGCTGAAGTCATTGAAACCAATTTCTTATCGTTCATTTTCGATCACACAAATAATATTTCCATCACCTTTTTATCATGGAATGAACATTTGTCATCTTTCTTCATATCCAGTTTCAAGTAAGCTTGGATCTCTGGGCCCCGCGATGTGGTCTATATTTCCTAGAATTACTTTGCATTTTTTCACGGTAGGCGCCTATCTCCAAGTGCTACTTCAGTTTCAGTCTTTATATGCAGCAACGTAGAGCGAAGAAAAATTAGGAGGTACATAAACTCAAATACCGATGTTTTTCGTCAAAGTGAAGTTATTTCGTCTGAACGTCAATTTGATTTCCTAAAAATTTTGTAATACATAAACGTGAAATTTCGTACTCCACATTTGTGTCAGTATTTTGAGTTTGCATTATAATAGAATTTCCCGTTTTGCTTCACCTTCAGCCAGCTGAAGGAAGCAAATATAAAACGGAAAAATTACGGTTTTTTTCAAAAACACAAATGGGTTTTGGAATTTTTCCGGTTTGTCTTCGATCTGGGCGGCAATTCAGCCCCTCCGCTGATCTCGAACAACCGCGAAACGCAAATGTTATTGAGAGGAATTTGTGACAAACCAAATGTCACTGAAATAACTTCTCGTAGGTGAAATATCGTAGGGATCTGTAAGAGGTCATGCGTCTCGAATAGCGCCCGAGACTTTGACTTTGCAATGTGGAGCACTTAGATTGATCAGTTTCATCCTCGGAAATCCAGGGGCTGTGAGTCGATTTCAAGTCAGGGCAGAAGAGCCCCTGGGGACATTGTCTTACAAGACTAGTTCCAAACGGTCGCAGTTGTTCTGACATCTGATTGGTGCCAGATATTCTTTGTGTTTTTCTGCCCAATTAGAATGAAGTATGCTTTGGAGTCCTTTCGTGTGTTTTAACAGGGAGATGTACAAGAAGCTCAGTTGCTAGCCTTGTTTGTTTAGGCCGTGCGACGAAGCTTTGCTCGAGGTGAAAAGTTTCAGTCTCAGCACACAATGTAAGAGAAATCGATCAGATTGTCCGCGAAAATCTTACCAGAAATTATACTGAATACTTTCGCAGGTATCACAAGAGAACGTATTTAAAGTTTGCGAGGTTCGTATAAAACATAATGGTGGCAGGCGTTAATATGTCGCTTTAAACGTTAGACGAGATGTAAGCTTAAATCGTTCTAGATTTCTCGTATAATTTGCTGTGAGTGAAACTTTGCCAATCCCGTGAAGTTATTTTGTCGCACGGGCCACGCAGGTATGTCAAGCAATTGGCGCTTAGGCTTACGTAGCTTTCTGTGCGCGCCAAAATCTAACCCCTACACAATAGTAAAGTCTTTCACAGTAATATGGCCAAGATTGCAGAAAACGTTAAGTTCGTGGACGACCTCCAGCAAGCGCTTAGAGAGAGCTTAGCTGTGTTTCCAGATAGCGAATTAAAATCTGAACAAAAACTTACTATCGAGAACATTGTGGGAAGGAGAGATGTTTTCGGACAATAGACCGATCCAAGTTTATCGACGCCATTTTGTAAAGGGTGCAAAACCACTGGGGAGAGCGCGCGGCCAAACTAATGGCGACGCATTTACCATGCCGAAACACGCGCGTTGTTGTGTTGGATTTTGTGATAACGACAAGCGATTTCCCAACTTACTGGTTGTGAGATCTCACGTAAAAGAATTGAAATTCCATAGGTGGCCAAAAGACCCAAATTTAGCTGAATTGTGGAGGAAACAAGTCGCGAAAGGACGGAGTGATAACTTCAATCCCGAACCTGGATCGGAGGGTGAAGGTGAAAGATTCCAAAGGTGAAAGATTCCAAAACGAAGCTATCCTCGACGTCAAAACTCACCACAAACCGACCGAGGCCTTTCAATATACACACTATTCATCTTGCCACCCGCCAGGTGTTAAGAAAGGCTTTATTAAAGGAGAAGCTATCAGACTTCTAAGAACAAACTCCTCGGAAAGAAATTTCCAGGAGGCCATGTGTAATTTCAAAATACGACTTGAAGCACGTGGTTACCCAAAAAGCCTTATTGAAAAAACGTTATCTGAGGTCTCGTTTGCCGCAAGGCAGTCGACACTTAAAAACAAACCAAAAAAACTGAAGGCAAAATATTGCCTTTTGTGACAGCATACCACCCACAAAACAAATACTGATGCAAGAATGGAACTTCATCCAAAATCAGCCACTGCTGAAAACAATTTACAAAACGCCTCCGATTATATCATACAAAAGAGGTAAATCGCTCAAAGACATACTCGTCAGAGCGAAGCTTTAATTAAAGGCTTTTGCGTCGCAAACGTAAAACCACACAGGGGAGCCTGTGTAGGCCTGTCTATGACCTTTTCAGTTCTTGCTCTATGGCAGAACCTCTATTAGTGTCCTTTCTTGTCTTCTTATGTTTAAAAAATTTTAGATTTCTAATTTGGCTTGGTGCCACCTCCTTCTTTGTTCCTCTGTTTCAGCCTTGAGGGATGCTTGTACAGGCTGGTGAAATGTAGTCCTTCTTGAAAGCATAATTCACTTTATATAACAAGGCAATTTCATGATTGCACACCTCACTAGTTCCTGCAATGCAGGAGCACCACGATGTAAGGATTTTTTATTTATCCTTTGGTCCCTCAGTACAAACCCACACATGATGTGGGTCATCGTTTAGTCTTTGCGAAGGAGAGACATATGCTTTTAAAAACAATATGTTGTCATTGCATGAGGCATGGTATACAGTGTCTACAAAGCCACTAAGCCAATAAGAATATGCCTTTTGGTCTTTATATTTACCTATGTAGTCTACATCCACTGCTTTCACTCTTAAGATGTAGCTAAAAAGCATTCCATCATCTAGATTTGGCCATTCATGGACGTTTTCCTTCCAGTCTTCTTTCTGAATAGAATTGGGGTCGGTGTTTATCCGATGTTTTCTTAGTCTCTGTTGGTACTCTTCTTTCAATTTCCTGTCAATTTCTTCTTGAGAAAACTTCTTAGGTGCTTTCAGCTCGTAGGCACCGAATGCTCTCGCCACAAGTTCGGCTTTTTTGCCTGTCTGTTTCAATCCTCGAAGTGCTAAAAAATCTTTCAACGAAGTCAGGGTCCAGTTCAAAAAGTCTTGATATTCAAGCTTTTCTTCTGCTTGTCTCGGCATCGGCAAAAACGTAGAAAATGCTCAAGTATGGCAAGTAATACCTTTTGAATAATATCAAAACCTCTCAACGTTAAAAAATCAATAAAACTAGGAAGTAGCAAACACAGAACAGCTTGTTTTCGCGCTGCAGAGTATGTTTGGCCGCGCGCTCGCCTCAGTGGTTTTGCACCCTTTGAAATATGGCGTCGATAACCTTGGATCGGTCTATTACCGACGGGGTTTGGAAAGAGCGTAATCTTTTCAGCTGCTGCCATGACAAAGGCATACCGTTTTTTTTTGGAGTCTGTCACCTCCCAGTTACAATAACGTTTCCATGATGTTTCAATTCTATAGCGACAAGTGTCGAAAATTGCACGCGGATGGCCATCGTCTGGTAGAACTTTTTGATTGAAAACTTCCTTAAATATTTTCATAAACTCGCCTTTAAGGTTTCTTTTTCTCTTAATTTTGATAAAAACGAAAGAGCATACTCGAAAACGGTCTGAAACATTTTCACTCGGATTATTCACACTCATCGTAAAAAAAACCCTGAACCTTCCCTAAACAACTAGTCGAAGGAGATTTGATTTTGACGCGCACAGAAAGTACGCAAGCGTAAGCGCCAGTTGCTTGACATACCTGCGTGGCCCGTGCGACGAAATAACTTCACGGGATTGGCGAAGTTTCACTCACAGCAAATAACACGGGAAATCTAGAACGATTTAAGCTTACATCTGGTCCAACATTTAAAATGACATATTAACGCCCGCAACCATTATGTTTTGTACGAACCTCGCAAACTTTTAAAGACGTTCTCCTGTGATACCTACGAAAGTATTCAGTATAATTTCTGATAAGATTTTCGCGGAAAATTTGATCGATTTTTCTTACATTGTGTGCTGAGACTGAAACTTTTCACCTCGAGCTAAGCTTCATCGCACGGCCCAAACAAACAAGGCGAGCAATTGAGCTGCTTGTACATTTCCGTGTTAAAACACACGGAAGGACTCTAAAACATACTTCATTTTGATTGGGCAGAAAAACACAAAGATTTTCTGGCACCAATCAGATACCAGAACGACCGCGACCGTTTGGAACTAGTCTTGTAAGACAATGTCCCCAGGGGCTCTTCCGCCCTGACTTGAAATCGACTCACAGCCCTTGGGTCTCCGAGGATGGATCAGTTTGCAAACTATTGCTTCCAACGTGCCTCACGCGCCGGCAACAGAAGAAGCTCAAGGACCTTAAGAAGCAACTGTGGATTATGTCACGTTTTTCTTAACTGACTGATGAAATGATACGTACTTTTCGCTTGCCTTCGTCCATGGTGGCACTACACAACACTCCTCGACACAGCCGTGAAAGTGACTACATGGGGTTCTTGGGCAAAAAAATAAGACTCCCATTGGGGCCTGCATTCCATTATGTCAAGCAGACTTTATTTTGACTTGTCGTGCAAAATATCTAATTTCAATTAAGATGATCTGATCCGCGATCCAATCCTTGATCCGATCCGTGCTCCGATCCGTGATTCCGCCCGAGATCCGGTCCGTAATCCGGCCCGTGATCCGGCCCGTGATCCGATCCGATCCGATCCAAGTTTTGTCGACGCCGCAAAGAAACATACCTGTGGGTGTATAACATCCAACTTGTTTGTTAGCTAGATTGATGCTTCGTTTTTAAAAATAGCATCATAAAAATGAGTCGGAGGAAAATTCAAGAAACTGCTGCTCTTGAGTGACAATTTTCCCATTAATCACTGTCCGATCCTCAGTCTAAGAGACGAAAAAATGTTTTCAATTTCTTCAGAAATCAATCTTTGTCTCGCAAGCTACGAATGTTCGCAAATTTTATGTGATTCCGGAGTCGCGCACACGTAAGATCATGTAGTGATGAGACAGAGCGTGTTAGTTACTTGTGGCAACTCTTTCGTCAACACCGTACATGAATTATGAACTTTGTATTTCCGTTTCAATTGATTTTTTCCTGCGCGAGATTAACGCTGGCAACACCATCTTGCCGGCTCAGGTAGCCATTCAGAAAAACGGATTCGCTTCATATTGCCCAGAGGCATTGCGGGCGTTATAATGATAAGACTTATCTTTTTTAGCATGTATCAACATTGATTTGTCCGGGGATTTCGGAGTGCAAGGCGTCCATGTACAATAGAGCGCCAAGGCAGCATGCACAATATATGACCCTAAGTGAAGTAGCCAAATAATAGCCACTTGTTGTTTGCAAAACACAGCTCTATAATTAGCATAGCGAGGTACACACAGAAGCATTCTGAAATATTTTGGAGTACATACCTCTTATCAGACGTTTATGTGTGTAGTATCGCCTTGTATTTTTACGAGTTGTGCCGGATTTTTACGAGCTCGAAGGGCGCATTTAGAGCGAATTCAAATATATTCCAATTTTTCGCGAATCAAAATTGGCAAAATTTTTGCGCTGTCAAAATTTTGGCGGCAGTCTCATCAAACCAGTAAACTTTGAACAAAACTTCACCGATTGACTCATACGTCAATCACAAACTTATCTCGCTCCAAAAAGAAAAAAAAATCTCTCGCGAATTGCTATGCAAGAACGGGTCCTTTTTCCCGGAAGATCTTTTGTGTTTTGGTTGACGCTTGCGCTACTCGTGCTGGCTTCGATACTTGCAACGGAAGGCGAATTTATTGTTGAAGCCATATGTTCTCCACATTGCTGCCAGTGTAACTGTGCCCAGGGTACGAGCCACAGACATTTGAATAAAAGCAGAGCTCAAATTCGTTTCCCTCGAAAGAAAAAGGGTCAGATGGATGAGGAAAATCCTGCCTTTGCACGCCGTACTAGACCAGCGGACTACAGAATTTATTTTTACGATGCAACTTTATCCAAACATATCTTGCACAACATGACACCTAGATGGTTGAAAAAAAATTATCGCTTGTTTTGGCAAAATTTGGAAGCCTCCGAAGCAGGTCAGTGGATATTTTGAAGTGTGGCAAAAATCACGCGATTCCACACTTATTGTGGACAGAGTTTTTTCTTAAACAAACAAAAGAAGCCCTAATGGAGGTAAAGTGAAGCAGATAGAGAGCGTAGCACGTGCAATCGGCCGGTTGAACGATAATTGGATTCGATTCGCCCGTTATTTGTATTCTACTTCGAGTCTCTTGGTGCAGTTGGGTAATAATCTAGAATCTGGTTTCAGCACATTGTGTCAGTTTTAATTATGCGCCTGATCACGTTCTACGTTCTGAAAATAAACCTTTGACCTGGGAAACCTTATGATTCAAGCTTCGATCACATGACAAAGTTTCTCAACTTTCGTTATCAGCCCGCTCAAACAGGAACTAATCCTGAACTGAACATCAGCTCAATCCAGTTTGACCAGGTATGGCTAAAATTTTCCTAAAGGTTCTTCCGATGATTACGGAAAGTCACGAGATAAGTTTTAAATCAAGGGGAAGGCTGAACAAACGCAACTTACTCTGCTGGCGTCTTCTTTGTTTTCTTCAGTCGATGCATTAAATAAGTGGACGTGCTCAGTTTGTCTACTGACCTTGCTTTGTACCTACAAGAAACTCCTTGGTTTGGCTAAGAGTCAGATAATGATTCAGTTGACCGGAAGAATTATGATTAAGGGCTTTGTTGTTCATTTCGAAAGTCTCTTGAAGTACTTTGGTTTAGTGTTCTAACAAAAAATATTTAATCTCCTAAGGTCAGCCAACTAACATGCCCATCCATATCTGTCAGTAGTGTCAATAATATATCAGTATGTTCTTATGGAACTTAGTGTAGAGACAAAATGCTGTAGTTGAAGTGAGTGTTTAGTAGCACAAGTGAGTAAGAATTATTCAGTGAGAATCAAAGGACCCAAGAAATCAACTAGAGTTACACAGAATGAAATAAGCTTGGATCCAAGCGGAGTTGTGTACTGGAGAACCGGGTTATTAGAGAAAAAAAGCGGATAAGACAGTTCGAGGGTCTTGGTGCCTTTCGCCGGGCGTGGTGGCGTGGTTTGCTCGAAAGCTAGCCCCTCCCCCATTTGGTGGTGAATTTAGTCCCAACATTATTTTGTATGTCACGAAATTCTGTGTTTCGTGGACCAACTAGTTTCCTTCGCAGCCGTTTTGGGACTCGTCACGCAACACCTCTCCCCACTAACAGCCGTTTGCGGGAAGGAGCGTTGCGTGACGTGTCTCTGAACAGCTGCGAAGGAGCAAGCTGCACGCGTATCATACTAACAAACTTCAAGATAATAGCGCTTTACAAGAAAAAAGAACGCCTTGAATCTGTTCTTCGGTTTACCACACATACTGATTGAGCTATTTTTCAGTCGATATTTGGTGTCAGTTTGCCTTGAAATGTCTATGATTCTATATATTGCTCTTGGCTGTTTAATTTGTTTCGAAAATTCCTGAAATAGCGACTAAAGTCATTTGCATTTTTAAGAAGCCGTCTGAGGAGGAGTGACTTTGACCGAGATGATCTCGTATTACTTTTGTATTTAGTAACGCATTTCACGATCCAGAGGAGAACTTGGTAGCGTCATCGCAAAAGTGTCCACACATACACGCAAAATAATGCTGACGTACAGCATTATTCAGCTTTTATTATCAAAAATTTGTTGATGATGGATCAATTTGTTTCTAAGATTGACTTTATTTTCAGGAGTAATACATTTGACATGGAAAGATGGACAGAACACACCCCAAGATCCCGAAAAACGCTAGTTCAGAACCCCATCTTGAGGATGAATTGGAATGTGATGACAATCAGTCGGCCAGGCGCGGCACATTTGAACGCTTGGAAGAAACAATATATCAGTTCCAGCAATGCAAAGTGGAAGCGGCCACAGAGTCTTTGCAAGCTGCATATAGGCATTTCCTGAATCTAACCCCAGATAGCTTCAGAAACCCGGCTGACTACGAGAAGGAGCAGGTGGATCGAGGTAGAAAGATGTGTTTGAGTCATTGTTCCGCCCCTCCTTTCTTTGGTGTTGTTTTGTTAAACCTCGAGCTGACCTCAGATAAGGATGTCCATTTTTATGCCAGCTTTGCTATTGTCTTTGGTGCTGTTGCACTCAAGCTGCATAAATATAAAATAGCTATAGACTTATTTCAGCGATGTTATTCTCTTTTCACATTTGATGCCACGCCATGTCCTGAAAACAACATGCAAATTATCGATATTTTAAGAGCAGTAGCCAAGGCTAATGTAGGTTGTGTTTATCTGATTATGAGAGTTATAGAGAGGGCTAAGGATTATCTAGAATGTGCGCTGGAGATTTTTGAAGCATTTAAAAGCAAAAACAAAACTGACTCTCCAGGAATATACATTGTTGCCATACAAATCAACTTAAGCTTAGCTTACCAGTGTCAGAAAAACTACCCTGCTGCAGTGATGTTGCAAGAGCGTCTTCTTCTGAAAGCCAAAGACCCCATTATTCCCCCACATTTGGTAGCTTCTATACATTACAATAGAGCAGAGTTGTTCATAGAGCTCAAAGAACCTGTCAAAGCCCTCATGGAGCTGAGGACATTGGATTCACTATCTGATAGGATGATCAATAAAGAAGGAATTTTCTCGAACTTTATATCTTCTAAAATTTGTTTGGCGTATCAGGAGATTGGAGATATGGCTCGTGCAAGGAAAATAGCGGAACGCTTCACTTTCCCTTCTCTTTCCCCTGAATCGTCATCATCACCACCATCGCCCTCGTCAAAGTCTTTTTCGGCAGCATCAGGGTCAGGGTTAGGGTCATCATCATCATCATCATTATCATCATCATCTTCATCAGTTTCATCCTCGTCATCTTCATCACCTTCGTCATCAATATCGTTATCTGCATCGTCTGCTTCGTCACTGATGTCTTCATTTTCATTTGTCTTTTCCGATTTTGAAGCTGTCCTCGGATGTAGTGGAAAATTCCATTGGGACTTCTTGTTCGCGACGATATTGAATTTAGTTGATTATCACTTGAACGAGAAAAACTTAGACTTTGTATCCTTCCTCGATGTTTTTGTACCAAGTTGCAAGGAAACGCTTGGGAAAAACCACCCAACACATGCATCGTTTCTCTATAGGCAAGGTGTCAGATTTTTTCTGATTGAAAGAACCTTGTCATCAAAGAACTACTTTGAAGAAGCATTAAGTATTTTGAGAAGTTTGGCCTACGGTTCAGACCACCCGGATTTGGTGCAATGTAATATCGCTCTTGCAAGGTTACTATTGTGCGAGGACTGTCAAGAGGTTTCTCAGTTGAAGTCGCGCCCTGACCGAAGCCGGGGAGAATTTCCTTGTGACGGGGCTGATGGAGTTGTGAGCCCTGATATTCCATCATTTGGAGAAGACAGCAACAAGTGGGACAGCAACGAAGAATTAGACGAACCAGGTAAAATTTCTTGTCAAGAAAACCGTAAAGGCAAGTACTACTATCGACTTAAAAATCCATCCCAAAAGGATAAAAACAGAGGAATCAGCATCTCACAGAAGATACTGGAAATACCAAATGAAGTCAGCGATGGACGGAATTACTTTCTTAATGGAGGAGAAGTGGTTGCAGACAGCGGTGAAAACCGCGATGTACTTCCTACAAATGGAGCTTCCGGCTTTGACAAGGATTGGAAAATCCAAGCTGTTGTCCCTCCAAACACACCAGGAGATTCCCATGAGAGTAATTCGAAAACAAAAATATCTCTTGGTTTGAAAGGTGGACGCCGAAACGATCCTCTGTCACGCCACAGTTCACAAAGGGATCCGAGTGAGGATGACTTTGGAACAAATCACATCGGAATCGATCCCAGTTTTCTCGCACGTCATTCATGTGAGTGCAATGCATCTGATAAGAAATGGGATTCTTGTGGTCCATTTGAAGATTTAAAAGCGCCTGCAGGCACCCACTCCGAGTACAACAGATCTGGGTGTATGTCTGAAGTGTACCACCCAACTCCCCCAAGTTCATCGACATCTCCTGAATGTCGTGATTTTAAAAAATTCGATGCTGGAGATCATCCTGCCTATGCTAGCACTATGGGATCTCCTGCACAAATCTACTTAAGTTCTGATGGTTATCAGTCTCAAGAGTCATCCCTAAACTTAGTCCTGATGCCTAAAACTGTTCCAACGAAGACCTTAGGACTGCCTCAATCTTCAAATTTCCTTCAAGATGGATCTAAAGCAAATCCCCCGTCGACAGTTAAAGAGTTTCCCACTGGTAATGTACGGGCAAAAACTTCGCCAAATATCTTCTCAGATGGACATGTACTCGCCGAAAGGCCGACGTTCTCATCGCAGTTTGAAGGAAAAGATGACGCTCCAGAATTTCTTCCGGACGGGGAGGGTGCAGGAGCTGGTCAGGGTCTGTTAAACAGTAATTTAGACACATCTGCTGACGAGTCGTTGGCCGTCCTCGAGCAACGTGTGGCTGAAGCTTGCTGTCTTGTCGAGAAAACGTTGAAAGAAAGACAAGAAAGAGAGAAATCGATGAAAGAAACGGAGCGAAAAAGAAAAGATGAGCGGGTAAGGAAACAACAACTTGCACGTGAAAGAAAAGAAAGGGAAGCGAGGGAAGCGAGAGAAACGGAACTCAGGAATGAAAGAGTAGAGGGGAACTCCACGAGCGGTGGACAAGAAACACCTTCGCAAGACTCAGCTCGTGCTGAGGTTCGACAATGGCTGTGTGAACATTATCAGCGGCTCTGCCGTGTCAAGTTCTCATGCTGCGGAATATTCTTTCCTTGTCATCGTTGTCATAACAACTCTGGGTGTCCAAATGACAATTCCAAAGCAAGAGAGGCGTGTTCTGTTGAGTGCTCTGTTTGTAGCCATCAACAAGAGGTAAATAGGAATGAACTTTAATATATTTTAGGAATGACATTAACTTGAAATTTTATATAAGAGGGAAGAGAGTTCTTAAGCTTGGGTTATAAGCGATTTAATTTCGAATGCTTGACTTTTAAGATCAATCAGGACGCCCACACCTGTGTCAGATGTAAAACAAGGTTCTCAGCATACTTCTGCTCGGTGTGTAAGCACTTCACAGGGGAGGATAAAGCTCCTTATCACTGCGAAAAATGTGGTATCTGCCGGTAGGTGAAACAATATTCATGACGAGTTTTGTTTTCGTTTGTTTGGATATAGTGCTTGTTGTACAAAAGAATAAGGGTCACGGAGTTATTGGCCTGCTTCAGTACCAAGTCAAGGAGTTACTGACTTGTGTAACAGTATGAATGAAGAATCCGGGCGCTGCCTTGAGAACCAGAGCAAAATATTACAGAGAAATGATTCATCGATGAGTGGTTAAAACACCCCATTAAATCCCACAAAACATCAGTTTTGGTTTCTTCACACGTATCAAGTTTCCTCCTCAATAATTATTACATCTTATCTAGTAGAAATACAGCGCTTATTAATATGAATTAGAAATTTGTTTCTCCAACGGATCACGTTGTGCTTGGGTAAATATTTGCGAAGTGATGTTTCTATTTCCCGTTCAGTATCTACAAGGACCGCTCCTTCCACTGTGATGTGTGTAACGTCTGTCTGGACAAACGGTTGGAAGGAAGACATTCTTGCCGAGAAAATTCAGGACATGACGAGTGCTGCATCTGTTTGGAGGTAATGACTTACTCTTCGCACTAACACAGTGTTGCTGCAAAGCATCCAGAGAAGAGGATTTCTCTGTCTTGTTTGTTAGAAATCGTTTCTTGTTTGTTGCGTCTACCTGTTAAATGATGGTCAGTGTTTGTGGATTTCGTCGTCAGTTGTACTGTATTATTAACATTTTGTGTTCTCATATCGTTGTGAAACATTATGTTATTTGTTGTGTTCTATCTATAAATTTAGCTTTGTTGGTCAATGTTTGCTCGATTAATATAAAGCAACTGCACAGTTTTCACTGCCGTTAAGTCTGGATTACAATAAGGTAAATGTCTTTTCGTATCATTTATACATTGGAACGTTTTCCTTTCTGCTGGTGTAAGAGTATGCATTTTAAAAAAACTGTCCAGAGACACCCGTGATACTGGTTGCACACAAAATCGGCTCTGTAAGGGGAATATTGGCCAACAGCTTTTTCCTTTTGATGTAATTATAGCCTTGTTGTCGACAATGAAAGTGAAATCTGGTAAATGCAATGTTTGAGCGACAAATTAGCAACATATTAAGAGAGCACCTGAGTTTTTCTTACCTAGGTTCTGAGTACAAAAGAAAGCGTTTTAATAGAAAAAATGAAAAAGAAATGATTGTAAAAGTTAAACTGATGTTTAATACCTGTAAATACTTTTACTTAATGGACCTTTGGAACATTTATTTTCAGGACGCATTCAGTAGTTGTCAAATCCTACCATGCTCTCACAAGGTTCATAGAGAGTGTGCCATTGCAATGATACAGAATGGCGTGTAAGTATGCTCACAAAGACATGATATTTTATGAATTAACTAACATAACGAAGAACGCGTTAGTGCTCCCCTCCATTTGACGGTATCTAGTTAAAATTCTGAATCGGATTTGTATGTGAAGTTGTGGCGGAGGCTGTTGGGGTAAGTTGCCTGAATCTGTCCATCTCTTGACTTCTGCCTGTGTGAACTGGAGTGTCAACATCAATCATTGTTTTTTTGCTTCCTCTTTCCTTTGAAGGAACTTGTAATTATAATGATAATAATAATGACTTTATGGGATAACACAGTAACTGGTAGAACCAGTAGTTCTCATTGTGGTCCACAATTGTCTTTGTTTCAATTGAATCTCTCATTGGTTTTTGATGTTAACTTCTGATTGGCTGTTGTAATTGGCTGGGTTTTGGTCTAACGACACTTTGCATGCAGCCTTGGAACGGTTCTGAATCCACAGCAATGCTAGGTCGATTGTGAGCTTTGCGGTCTCTTTTAGTTTTACCCCGTGATTTTACTGTGACTTGAATATTCTCGCGTTTAATCAAAAAAAAGTTTAAGTTGCATTCACTTGAAATGTTTTCTTCAAATTTGCAGTCGCAGCTGCCCAATTTGTCGCCATCCTCTATACAGTCAGACAAATGGCAACGAGTGAATGACAACGTCCATCCCAGGCCCTTCTCTTCCTGCCTCTTTGATAAAATGGAGAGGACCCTGGGAATGGAGCTGAAAGGATGATTTTGAAAAAATTTTGATAATTGTTAGGTGTTCAGATTTTTTCTGACTTTTAGTATAAATTCAATAACAGTTTTGGTACTTAAATTCAATGGAGTTGTCTGATTGTCCGGGTACGAAGGCACTAGCTACTCACGACTTCTCACGCCCAGACGATTAAACTACACAAGCAAGTCTTGCTCCGAGTTTCAGTTACTTAGCTTTTTCAGTTTGATTGACCAGTACGTTTTTACTGAAGTTTAAAATTTCAAATTCGAACAAATGTAGTAGGTTTAGGTGTGTTAAGTGCAGGCGATATGTGGGTCTCTATAACCAAACTATCAAAACATTATCGCTTGTTGTCAAATATTGATTTTTTTAACCAACAATCCAGAATTTAGAGAGGCAAAATTAAATAAATGTTCAATAATGATCTTAAACTTCGCGTTAAGAACGCTTGGCTTAAGATTTCCTTAGGCGTATGTATCCAGGACATTGTGTTGCTTTGGTAATGAACGATACTCTAGCAAAAAAAACAACAACAACAAAACAAAACAAACAACGAAAAAAAGGAACTAAAATTATCTACTATTCTAAGCGTATTACTATACAATACTGCATGTACTCTACAATGATTCGATTTATCCCAGGAGCTCGTTTCTCGCAAATTTTGGCAACTTCACGAGTCATATTCTAAGATCGTAATCTAAGGAATAGCATAGCGGGTATTCGCTCAAAACCCAGCCCGTTCTGTTTTGTTTTCTTCAATAAATTTTTTGAGGTTTGAATTTCAAAGCTATTGATATCTGAAAAACAGCATCTTCGGACCAATGATTACCGGAACTTACGGATCGTAATCTAAGGAACTGCGTGTATTCCTCAAAACCCCGTTCTGTTTTGTTTTCTTCGATAAATTTTTTGATGTTTCAATTTCAAAGCTGTTGATATCTGAAAAACAGCATCTTCGGACCAATGATTACCGGAACTTTCAATAAATGGGCTCCTGAGCAATCATAAAGACTAAATTTGTAAACTAGAACGTAAAATTTTGCATTTACTTTCATATAAACTCGCGTCCATTGATTGCTGCTGGACCACACTCCGCTTGAATGGGGAGAAACACTTCGGAATACGTCGCCTATTGTGGGTTGCGCTCTGAATCGAATCATTATATATGGCACAAAATTATAAATAACGAATGATCTAGTGAATTAGCTTTATGAAGAATACAGCATGCTCTTTAGTCAGTTTCTTGTTCATTATTTTGTTTAAAAGGCTATAATCTCAAATAAATTTGCGCGTTCCACCGTATTCTTGGATTAAATCTTTCAGTCACGTGGTCGTCATAAAATAGAAATAGTATTGTGGGCTTTGGATCAGTAGAGGGACGTTTAGAGGAACAGTCTAGAAGTCATACATGTAATGTGGGACTATAAACTCCTCGAAATTACCGCCAAAATAGAAGCTCTAAACTGGCTCTGAAGGTTATGAAGTAGAAATTAGAGAGCTCATGAGTTAAATCCGCGCTCAGACGCTCTATCACTTCTATCACTAGGCTACTAGTTAGCTTACTCAGGCTCTTACTAAGCTCATATTTGACACATATCCCGCAAACAGCCAGGATCAGCAGTGTCAAAAGCTTCATTTGAGTTAATATTGTAAGAAAGATGGTGAGTCCTATTTCTTTTCTTCGTTCCACGTTCGTGACACTGGAGGCGGAAAACATCTTTCTTCATTTTATTACCGAGCTGAAGATTCACCATTTTCTTATTTGGCACATGAGGCTTTCTACATTGTTGATCCTAGCAGTACACAGTAATGGCTTAGCTCACCTTGAACTCTCTGTGGCTCAGCTGCAGAGCATCAGGGCGCTAAGGTCTGAGGTTCATGACTCAGCAATTTTTCTTTGTCTGGTGCTTGTGACCGGATCGAAAAAAAAAACTATTCTCATATGTAAGCAAGAAAAACAAGAGAAAGTGTGCGACTTTTCAGAACCTTTTGAAGCAGTCTAACGAGTGAGACTGAAAACTCCTCGAGAATTATAATAACCGCGTCTCTCTCGCTAAATTCGCACTAAAAGAAAAGTGAAGGCTTAAAAGCGACTTCTGAAAAACTCTCTAAAATTAAGGTTACTTCCCACCTTCGCGGGCGTTCCTCGGGAAAAAAATTCAAACGCGTTCTAGTTCCGATAAAATCCTCGCAAACTATGCACCAGAAGAAAGCTTTATAAATGCAGTTTACGATGAAAACATGATTTGAGCGACTTTTCTTTTAAGGAAGTGTCAGGATCCGGTAAGGCGTGAAACGACCGAAGGTTCTTATATTGAATTTATCGGGTATCGGATGCCGCAGGTTGTGCCTTAGTCTTACCGGCTAGAGGTACGCCCGAGGAGCACTAGTGACGAATTGGGATTTACAAACAGTCAAGTGATGTGATTGAACCAGACATGAACATTATTACATGCTATACATGTGAAGAATACATTTTAGAGTTTAAATCAAGGAAATTTCGCTAAATTTTATATAGCTGTTTCCGCGACCCTCGTCGATCTAAAGTTTCTTGTTCAGCATAGTTTTAGCTCAACATTGTAACCGCTAAGACCAACTCTTGCAAAGGTAAACAAAACTTACGAATAGTATCCCCACTATAATACCATTTTCATAGTGCTACCGGTTAGAAAGATCCCCAAGATAAAATTCTTATCGTCTTGTACCTCTTGCTGGTAGGATCTCAGGAGGCTTGGAAAATACCCCCGGTTAGAGGTACAGCTTGCATATTTAGTCAACTTTGCTGTGGATTGCTGCACATTTTACTTTTCTGCACTCCAAATTGGTCTTACATTCCTTTGAATCACGTTTTTCATGAATACATTTACATTTTGTTCTTTCCTATTTAGTCTTACACCTCTAGCTGGTAGGATCCTAGGACGCTTAGGAAAGACTACCGGCTAGAGGTACAGCTTGCATATTTAATTACCTTTGCCCAATTTTTATTAGTCTGCTTTAAATTCTACTTTTTGGCATTCCATTTAGTCTAACACTACATTAGAATCACTTTTCATGAATATCTTCCTGTTCCTTGGTCGTGTACCTCCAGCTGGTAGGATCTTAGGTGGCTTAGAAAATACTACAGGCAGGAGGTACTTTATACATTTAAGATGAATTTATCTCATTTCATTTACTTTTTGATTTGATCAATTCAACAGAAAATATCCAGGAAGGTTACAGAAACGGACTCTTTAAAACTGCTCTTGAACTTCAAAACTGCAAACAACAATTATTTATGCTAACTATGTGCTTATCAGCGTGCTTGTGAGCTCAAATTTCCAGGACCCTGTTTAATTACACGACCACAGCTCGGACGCCTCTTGCAAATTATGATGGCTATTAACTTCAGAGATTGATTCTTCAGTTTTCAGCATTAGGAAAAAATTATTGTATCGCAGGCACGTTCATCATAACCTGAGCATTAAGTACGCCTCAAGACGTTGAGCAAAGAGAAAGTGGCTCCATGTTTTGTGAGACAAACCATTTCTTGAAGTTCAAACGAATCGAGTAGAAAGCATGAAACGTACCATGACCAAACAATGAATTTACTTATCCCGCGGTAGGATTAACACCATTTTACCAGTGAGTTTGTTTGTACCACACATTTGCGCTCGGTAGTTTAATTCTCAGATGTTTGATGGGTTCTCACTTTATAATATTGTCAAAATCAAATTATCGCGTCAGACCTAATGTAAACATGGACACCGCTGACTCCATCTCATTAAATGTCAATTTTGGGAACGGCTATTATTTACTTCTTAGGGTAAAACAAGAAATCTTCGATGAAGCGCGATTTTTTAAAATAAATAATGTAAAGCCTGCCATAGCTAACTGAAGAGAGAATGAGAGAAACTTGCTCACGCCGTTCGCTATCATTTGAAAACTTTCTAGGCGAAACATAATAGGTAAGATAACTTTTTTCCCTGAACACAACGACTGTATTAAGCATTCCAAACGATAGGAGAGGAAATAACTTGAAGAGTACAAATACTTTGAAAGGTTATTCGAGCGATGAACCGGCGCGAGGGTTTTAAAGCGATGAATGTTAAAGTCATTGTTTTACCGAAACGTAATCTGAATTATAAACTGAAGCTAGTATTAACGAAGATTGGGGAAAAAGATTTGTAACAAGTAAGACACGACTTACCTCCTCTTCTTTCTCGAATCCTTTGTGGTTCGCATCTCTTTGTTGATGACCACTTTTCAGTCCGCTTTTCTAGAGCTCTAGTCAAATTAAAGTTTTGTGCACAGCCTAAATATTGTATCCTTCATAAAACTAGTTTATCAGAATAAGAATGAGTTACCGGGCTTGAGTGTGGGCTTGATTGTTCTCAGATGTCAGTTTGTAAAAGACCAGTAAGTCAATTAGATTTTGGATTCTAAATTCAAACTAGGTAAGATTAAATTTATTCATATCATGCTTCATTATGGTTTGTTTACACAGTAACGGAATTGTTACTATAGCTTCACAGATGTTTTCGTTGCCATTGCAATTAACATTCATTACAAAGTTTTATTTAACATAGAATGTTTCAAGAACTTTCCTCCTTTCGCTCCGATACCATTTCCTACTTCCGGAGCACAATTAAAGGAAGCAGGTTGTTAAGAAAAGATTATAACTTTTGATTCAGGTAGTTATTTGAATAAGTGGGTAACATTTGATGCTTTCACATGTAACAGGATGATCAAGCTGAAGATAGCTTCAAAAAGGAGTTAACTACACTGTAAAAATTAGGTGACTAATTTGGAACTTGAGCACTTGGTAACACCTTGGCTTGCAATTCTGATGGTTACAGTTTGTTGAGGTAATTGGAATGTCACTACCCAAGCAGGAACCTTCCACATGACCTGTACAGTCATATGCTATAAGATAACTTCAGAAAAATACATTTGCGTCGGTAGAACTATTGTAAGTACAGTACCAACTGGTGACAAAAATTAATGATTTCCTGTAAGCATGAATGTTTGGAAGATGCTATGATGG